GAGTTTTCTAGGTTTTTGTCAATTTATCTTCCAGACACATCGGAAAATTTGAAAAAACAGTGAAAACGAGCGAAAAAATTTTAAAAGTTTGAATTCGCGCGCTTTTACTCACCGGGCGGCCTAGAAAAAACCTCGTCCCTAAGGGCTTTCAGCGTATTTTTCGATGCGTTTTTCTCGATGAAGGAATTTTTTTTGAATTTTTTCTTTATTTTTAAGTCAATCTACATGCATTTCTGCACATTTTGATGCAATAAAAAATTTCACCGTACACCACCTTTAAAACACAAAACATAGTTGTTTATTAACATGGTGACTTTATTCAAACAATCGAGATCAATGGGCCTTAACAGCTGCAGTAGTAGTGGTGGGGGTGTTAGATGATGAAGAAACCAAACGATCCGAAGTGGTGGTAGTGGCGGTCGAAGCAGTGGTTGCTGTAATAGTCGAAGCTTGAACAGTGGTGATTCCAGTGGTAGTTGACGCTTCTTTAGATTGTCTATTTGTTGTAATCGTCGGGACTCTATTGGCAAGAGTGAAGATTGGTCCAGGAGACGTGGATAATGCCGGTGGAAGTGTTGTGGTCTCTCCTAACTCAGAAATCCGAAGAGTCTCAACTGTCGACATGAATCCCGGATGATCTTTTATGTATCCTCCGAGTGCTTTCTCTGGGTCTCTTCCATTTTCAGCCGTTTGCTTGACGAGGCCACGAACTCTTTCCAATTCACGTTCATCATAGATTGGTGCATCGATTTCTTCCTCTGAATCAGGAACATTTGTTCCAGTAATCATTGGAATAAGACCTGAAAAGTCAACTATTTGGAGCTCATCTAACCATTTTTATACTAGTAGTATAGACTGGTTGACTCTAGGACAGCTTTTGGCCCATTTCATTTTACACACAAAACAAGCAATAAATAATAACTTTATCATTTATCCACTTACTTTTATACAACAATAACACTGTAAAAATGTTTGGACCTCCATCTGGCCCACAAATTATTTTATTATTAAGATAGTCTTATAGTATGAAAAATATATGACAGTTTGATAAAAAAATTTATTGCAATAACATAAAAGAATTAACAATTGAAGAATTTAGATAAGTAATATAAACTTATCAATTGGTGAACAAAGTTAGCCTATTCTTCATCTTCTTCATCTTCATTTGGATTAGTCTCATGATCAGTAGATTGTTGACTTAATAGGCGATCAAATCCATCAAACTCGACTGTTACATCACCAGCGTACATTGGTTTTAAAAAAGTGAATTGAAAATCTTCCGCAGCAACTGGAAATGTATTTTCTCCACATCTTAAAGTGGTTGGCATGTTCCTGATTACATTTCGTATTTCTTCTGCAAGATCAGCATATGAAGCACGATCATCTCGCTTATGGAATAGAAAGCCCGTCTGCGAATTTAGTGAGTTCCACTGTTGTTGAACTATTCTTCTATAGAGTGCCCCCCGAATTCGCGTTCGTTGAGCATTATTA